TGAAAATCAGCTCATGCGACCCCGTCACTCACGGCTAGAGCCCCTAGCGCGCGCGAGAGCGTGCGTAGCCGCCTGGTATTATGAATAAAAGCAAGTCTCGTGAGTAGTTTTTTTTTTGCTTTCCTATACGAGGCAAATAATCTGTACTCTCAAATAATTGATCAGTTGAAAGGGTGGAAGTTGTAGTTGTCTTAAGTTGGACAATCTCGTTTTGGAATGCGCCGTCGCATTCGACTTCCTTTCAGAGTCATAGCCGCGTTCGAATAAGTATGCATGTCGGTGGGTCTTATGCAATGATTTGGCCAGCTGATATTCGAGTCAGTACAGGTTGTCCAGGAGGAAACAAAGTACTGAAGATGTAAAAGGCAAACGGAGTTTCGTAAATGAGACAGCTTTGAGATTGGCTACAGCCCCGCCGATTCCTTGCAGGTACCTCTTTTATATCATCAAAGCATTTCTTTACAATATGAAACGTGCCAGATTTAATTTATTCGACAAAATCATTCAAGAGGACAATACAGCCTCAAAGTCGTAAGTATAAGCGCCCATAATCAGCGACGTGCCTCCATCGGCAACGATCATCTGTCCGACGATGTACGACGACATCTTACGGTCTGCCAGAAAAGCGATCACATTCGCGATCTCTAGCGGATCGGCATTGCTTCCACGAGGCACTGCATGTTTTTGACTTCCGTAGAACTTGTATACCTAGAAAAGGAAAAACCCCTTTTAAGCGTCATCGTGAGTTCAGAATCATATCAAAATTGCCATGTAACGCAAGTCCACTTCAGAAGTCACTACGACTTTTCTTGCCAAAAGGCATTCTTTGCATTTGAAAGCACTTCGAAAGGTGAGATTTACGCGCTCCACCCTTTCGAAGCGCCGTTTGCAAATCGACAGACCTTCTCAGACTGCTCTTTGGTTAAGCCGTTGTTTTCCATGAAACTTGTTTCCACTATCCCAGGTCTGTAACAGAAGATAGTAATGATAAGAGGTGATAAACTGGAGTCATAGTCAGGTAGGATACTACCTTACACCATTCACTCTCACACCGTGTTCGATAAGGTCGACAGCGAGTGCTCTAGTGAACTGATCGAGGCCGGCCTTTGATATCGCGTAGTAGGGATCGTGTTTGATCTGAATGTTCGATTAAGGTTATCATCCTAGCCAGAGAAGGGCTTCGTCTTACTTCAAAATTGAAAAGGAAACTTTGCAAAGAAATGGTTTGCAGTAAGGCTCTGGAATACTAAACAACATATCCAGGCAAATTGCTACCTGAATTTTTTTTGATGAATTTCTCCTTCCAAAACTTCTAAGGGAGTGAAAAAAGTATGCCCTCAGTGACCCAAATAAAATCCGATATCGGGCTCTAAAAGCTTCCATTCTTGTCTTAAAATTTCAGCAACTAATTAAATATAATATCTAGTGTTATATGTGTGTTTTACGCTGTTTCTTTACAGTCACGGAATTTTTTACCCTCATAGAAAGCTAGTTCCAACATTGCATTGCAAGCGAAATGTGGCCCCTCAAAAATTATTTGAGATATCCAGGTAGCAATTTTGGTATCTATGTTTGTCAACAATATTCAAGATTCTAACGATTGCTGCGTTTCCATTCAATGTTTCATGAAATATAGAAACCCTTTTTATAATTAGAGAGTAAGAAATGAAAAGAATCGCTTACACCGAAATCCATCGCTGCTATGCTGCTGACGTTCACAATCTCTCCCTTGCTCTGAATCAAGTGTGGACGAGCCAGATGAACCAGTTGCATAATACTGTAAAGTTATTGGTAAAAACAATGAAGGGGCTCCACGACTAACCTCCTCAGATTGATATCCATCGTCTTCAAGAAGGCATCGTCATTGGCATCAAACCCTCGTTTTCCGTGGGTAATCGAAGCACCGGCATTATTCACCTAACATTCCAATAACTAGATGAGCACTTATCGACGATTCTGAATTGGCTTTTCACTTTAACTTACCAATATGTCCAAATGTCCCCATCGCGCTACCGTACTCTCTACGATCTTTTTTCGCGCCTCTTCATTGGTGAGATCACCAACTACCATATGAACACGCTCTGCAGGCACACTGGCATCAGCGATGCTCTTTCGTGTTCTCTGTTAACAAAAGCATTAGATCAGTACTGGTATTCTCATTAAGTAGAGAAAAACCCTAAACCCTTCACATCTCAAGTCAGACTCAACCGTTGAGGTCGCCTGACGCGGTCGCGTTTCTGCCGTCTGTTCGTGAGTTTTCATTCTATTAATTTGTTTTCTAAGACTACATCTTTTTTCAAGCTCTAGATCGTTTCTTCGCCTTCTAACTTTTTATTCGTAGTTCACTTTTGCAGCTTTTGTTTGGTTTTTCTTAATAGTTTTTTCGCTATAGCATTTTTTTTTCATCCCTACTTAGTTGCCTGCTACTGGTAATTATTGACTCAGTGGACTCAATATCGGGTAGATCAAAGGTCAAGAAAGATGCCATCCAAACAGCAACGCTCTAAGAAAGCCTCGTTGAGCAGTTCTCAGCCACCATCAAGCTCGACAAGCAAAGGAGACTCACAGATCGCCAATCTTGGGGTGGAAAATTTCCAAAACATGTCGGCGATGGAGCTTTTAAAGAGCATAATTGAACTCAACCACGATCCAGCCATAGAAAATATGCTTATCGCCCTTTCGGAGAAGATTCCAATGGAATTCTCAGATCTCCTTGAGAGCGACAAACGGGGCCGTAGCATAGTTATCTCAGGTTTGGATGAAGGGCAGGGTGGTCTCCGGCCATCAGCGCGACAAAGAGATCTTGAAGACAAAGTTTTCATGGTTTTGGATGTCTTGGATGTGGAGTGCCGCCCGGTTGAAATGTATCGCATGGGTAAGCCGAATCCGAAACGCCCTCGCCTTGTCAAAGTCGTCCTACCATCTCGATCGCATTGGCGCCGTGTCCTCGCCAATGCACGTCTACTACGAGAAGCTGGGCTGCCGAATGTTTTCATACGTCGGAGCATGACTGAGGATGAGAGGAAAAGGGAATATGAACTACGACAAGAAGCTCGGGAGCGTAATAAGGGTAGTAGCACTCGTGAATGGGTTGTTTATCAAGGCCAACTCAAGCGAGCTTCCGAATTACCACACAGACGTTCGGGAAACCACTAACGCTGCATGGTAATTCTGTGCTTTCTTGTGAATTACTAAACGCCCGTAGCCTTTGTAATAAGATAGATCATCTACACGCTCTCATAACCCAAAAATTTCCTGATTTGCTTTTTGTAACTGAGACATGGCTAACTTCAAACGTTCTCGATTCCGAGGTTGTAGCTGCTTTCCCGTACCCGATATATAGATCCGATCGAAAAGATGGTAGAGGTGGTGGGGTGTGCTGTTTGGTCAAGGGTAACCTCCACAGTCATCCCATTGCAATAAGTTCGTCTACGAAAGCTGAAGTCCTTTGTTTTGAACTCTTTTCTCCTACGTCTGTTTCGCGAGTTCGCTTTACACTTGTGTACAGACCACCTAATTCTAACAGAAAGGAGGATGATGAGTTGATCGAGCTGCTTCGTGAAGTTGTCTCGACTGAGATCAACTGTGTAATTCTTGGCGATTTCAATTTGGCGATAGATTGGATGAACCTGCTCGCTCTCGATTCAGTGTCATCCAGCTTTTTGGAGTTTTTCCAAGAGGTTGGTCTAGAGCAGTTCGTCTTCGCACCAACCCATGGCGATAACACTCTGGATTTAATCCTATCTACTGTTACCAACATACGTGACGTCTCGATTACAGCGCCACTGGCGAATTCTGATCATGCCTCCATTACCTTCAACGTGATGGAAGAGTTTGGAGTGCCTTATAACCTCCCCTTCCCTGATTTTCTGGACGTTGACTATAAAGCCCTTGATGAGTATTTCTTCGGAATTGACTGGTTGATGCTTTTCGACAGGTACAGTTCCGCCGACGATGTGTACCACAGGTTCTGCACGGTAATCTATGACGCTCTTACAAGATTTGTTCCGATTAAATCCCCTAAGTCCCGTCTAATCCAATACCCAACACATATTACAAACTTGCTAAAACAGAAGGAAAGACTATTTCGAGATTTGGACTTTCCGCTGAACTCCCCTCTCTATCGAAAGGTCTGCTCTGACCTTGACCGCCATCTGAAGAAGTTTTTGTCTCGTTTCGAATGTCGCCTCGGGAACCAAACTTCACTGAAACGTCTCCACCTCTATCTCCGCAGAAAACTCAAATCGAAGTCAGGCTTACCTGTTCTAGAAGATCAGAACGGTACTAGGCTTTATAGTGACTATGCTAAAGCGGAGTCCCTGGGTAGGTATTTTGCGAGTGTTTTCTTGGGACCCAGTTCATCCCCGAGTCTGTTGGATTATAGTTCAATCAATCTTCGAACTAATATTCCTGATATCTTTTTCAACCCATCTGATGTTCGTACTGTATTGAAAAAACTCAAACCTTCCGTTAGTGAGCCTTTCGATGGTATACCTCAAATTCTTTTTAGGAAGTGCCATAATTCTTTGTGCAAACCACTTGCTCACTTGTTCAACATATCGTTTCTTCTAGGAGAGGTTCCCAGGCTTTGGAAAAGTGCCATTGTGACTGCCATCCCTAAACAATTAGGAGCCACTAGAGTTAACGACTACAGGCCTATCAG